GAGGAGGACGATGAAGATACAGCTCCCAATATTTCCGGCGAGTACGATCCTCATCCGGAGAATCTCAGTGGTGTATCGCAGAAAACGGCCCATTTCAAGATCGTAGTTTTCATCTAGCCGGATCTGGAGTATTTAGTCAGGCGGATCGAGTTTTTCTACCACATCAAGCCGCTTGTTTGTTGTTGTTTTGCTTGACAGCAGCTTTTCGGCTTCGCATCTTCATATGTTGCTTTGATGTGAAAAGTGAGAATGCGAATGACAGTGATCTTGCTCACTGAGCAATGTGAGTTACTCGAGGTGCCTCAAAAGCAACTCTAAAATTGCTCATGATTAGGGGCTGTCTTACCCCTTGCTTCTTGTCTGTCAGAAGTAACCACGCTCGGATCGAGGGGGGCGTCACATCTAAATCTCAAATCTAGATGCTCAAAAAATCTCACCTTAGCGAATCAATCTTCGAAAAATCATCTTTCATTTCTAGCATCTACTTGCATCGTGCTTCATCTTTTTGCAGGAAATCTTCAAAATCGATATAAATCTTCCTTCTATCTACTCAGCGTGCGTGCAGCTAGCAACAGCGAAACACAATCTTTTCTGCATCGTAGATAGAGTCGTCCCCCTCGGCTCGGATAGCAGGGTTCATCGGAAACTTTCCATCTGTCAAATTTTAATCAAAAGTTAAAATATTCCACCAAATGGTTCAGAGCCTTAGGCTGTGAACCATTTGTCGAGTTGAATTTAACTCATGGTTAAAAGTGACATTTCGAAAGTTATTTTCTATGCTCGAAAATCCCCGTGCTGTCGATCGACCAGTTTTCGACCCACGGTTGTCAAAATTTAACTTCTTGTCTGTAAGAAATAACCATGCTCGGATAGCAGGGTTCATCGATAACTTTCCATCTGTCAAATTTTAACCAAAAGTTAAAATAATCTACAATGGTTCAGAGCCTTAGTTGTTTTGGGAGTTTCCACTGATGCGTGACAAAGGAACAATCCCAGCCGAGGTCCATGTGTGTTGTTGAATGGGTGCGATATCATACGCAGTAAAGAGCCTAAATTTATAAAGAGACGACATCTTACCCATTTGACAGGTCTTCTGCTCGATTGGAATAGCTTTTCCTATGACTTTGACAGATAGTCGATTGTTCCAGTTTTGACAAGTCGTCTCTTTAGAAATTCACTGCCTCCATACACATTCGATTGCCGTCAATGGATGGCAATCGATGTCCGTCGGTGATTGGCACTAGATTGCGGAACAGAGACCGACGTTAAACAAAGGAATAAATAAGAAGAAGACAAAGGAACGACAAGAACGCTGATTTTCCCGAGGGGGGCGACACATCTAAATCTCAAGTTTAGATGCTCAACAAATCTCACACCAGCGAATCAATCTTCGAAAAATCTTCTTTCATTTGGCGCATCTACTTGCATCGTGCAGCATCTTTTTGCAGGAAATCTTCAGAATCGTCATCAATCTTCTTTCTGTCTACTCAGCGTGCGCGCAGCTAGTCACAGCAAAACACAATCTTTTCTGCATCGTAGATAGAGTCGTCCCCCTCGGATTTTCCAACCGGTTGAAGAAGTAGTGGCAGCATATTTATGGGAGCTCTTCGAAATCATCGTAATGTCATGGATTCCTTTGCAACATATCGGGTGAGATCTTTCCTTTATTTTTCTCTTAACTTTCATTTAATTTTTCGAGGAAACATTAAATGTTGGGTACGGAACGGTCCACCCGATTGAAGCAAAATAGATGGGGAGAGTGGAAATGCCAACATTTCGTGAATAGAGAGTGGGCTCCTTTCCCCACTCATTGGGGCATCCTCCTGTTATTTGACCGGTTGCATGATCCTGTTGTTGGAAGGAGATTTTCATTTATCCCGTGGATGCACGTGGGCGATGTTGCCCACGGATTCACCCACACCGTTTTTGGCCCTTCAAACAATGGCAGGTTGAGTACCGTTAATCATTTTGTCAAGCTTCTGCATTCATTTTCCAACAGATGTCACTGCTGTTGTTGGCGGTGACATCTATCGGAAACTACACATCTGTTTTCCGTTAATTGTTCACAGAGGACAGTTCAGTGCAAAACATGTCTGGTACCTCTATAGACTTCTCTGACGTTTGTGAATTGCACAAGTAGTAGTGCAAAACTTTGGGTAAATTCAACGGTTTTCTTGCACTAATACCTATAATTTACCCCGAGTTCGGCACTAATAATAAGATTTACATCAGAAGTCCCTCCTTTTTTACACATTCTGCACACAAAATAGCTCAACCCACATAGGATTTCCCGCCGATTTCTATGAATGGGCGGGGCAGAAAATATCTTTTGTGCAGAATATGAAGAAACGGAGGGACTTCGGATGTTAATCAAAATGAATAAATAGAGGTACCAGACATGTTTTGCAGTGTCAGGTACTCTATTTTGTAGTCTGTGAGAGGGAAATCACAAATAGAGTGCCATCAAAATACATGGCATGTTGAAAAATTGATGAATTTAGGTTACCGTCGACCGGCAGATGGAAATGATGTGAAAATGATAATGACGTTTTGCTACCTGTCAAATCGTATGGAATATTTTTTATACATGTTCACTTTTATGGTTTTGGAATTCAAACCTAGGGGTCGCATGCACTGGTGCAGTTTCGCGTAAATTCATCAATTGAACTAGTGAGAGCAAATTTTCTTTTTTTCTTTTTCAAATTTTCAAATTTGAATTTTTTGGCTCTCTTGAGACTGGTAGTTAAACAGGTAAAACTGTATGGGGAAAAATCATGTTTATTTTTTTTTCCGTGTTGGGTGTATTCATCACTGCGACCATTACTTTGATCTATTGTGATATTCCCCGTTTTTATATTGCTTTATCAGTTATGTCGTATCACTATTTTGTGAAGCGACCGACATAGACTGACCAAAAGCATTTTCCCAGCCAGGTATTACATTTCGAATGAAATGTACTACTTTACTGGGACCTGCATTCCAAATATCAAAGGGTTCTGCCAGCCCCTTATCCAGAAAAATACGCCTTTTATTGAAGATTGCTGCACAAGAGCATAGCAGGTGTTCAGAGTCTTCCTTTTCTATACCACAGAATCGACACATATCCTCTTGAAGTTTTCCTATTAGCTTCAAATGATATTTACATGGACAATGTCCTGTTATCAAACCAGTATAGACACTGAGATCTTTCTTTGATAATTCAAGAATTTTGCTAGTCAGTTAAATGTTTGTTTAATTGTAGCTTGTTTGACAATAATTTCCGGGAAAAAATTGAACGACATAGTCCCTGACTATTTTATTTAGATTGTCGTTCACTTTTTTTACCTGAGTATGCACCGAAAGCGAATTATTCCCACTTCTCTCAATTTATATATGGGGATTTTTATCACCGACAAACCGACATGAATGATCATACAAATTACAAAGAAATTTCTGATCAAAGCACAAGACTGACATCTGCTCGCGGAAAATATTTATCCTAGCCACGAACACGCGTACAAAATTTATGAGTTGGTTCGTGTCTAATCTATTTCGGACAAATTATTTTTATCTAGATAAAACATTTCTATGCTTTTGACAGATGGGATCGCTGCATATTTGAACCGGCTGTTATAGATTCTCGATCAAGAGTTAAGTTTAAGTTTCATGTTGGTTTGTCGGTGTTTTTATCACTTTCTACCAGCGGAATAGCGCCATCTCTGTGGAAAATGGCCGGACGATATGATTAATTAGAGGTTATTAAACTTGATCAAGTCGAACAACGAGGATAGGCCACAGTCTACCGTTTTACAGTTTTACTACAGTGAGTGGTAGTTCCATATCATCATCATCATCATCATATTATCATCTGAGAAAGTGGCAACAGCATGTCAGTAGTTGTGAGATCTAAGCTGACAACAAACGGTAATCCAAGCCGGTAAGTACGTCGGCATACGGTAAGCCGAGTTTAGGCGAGGCAAGTGAGTTTAATTCAAATGAGTCTCCATGTGGTGATCGACGTTCAAGTGACTTGAAAGCGAATACAAAAAGTTGGACATCAACTAAATTCCTAGGCGTTCATTTCGTAGTTCAATGGAATACAATCTTTGAAGCAGATGTCGCAAGTGAATGAAAGTTACGAAGATTTATTATGTCTGCAGAAAACCAGAAAATTTTCATTTCACCGAAATAAGGGCTTTTCCTGAAAAAAATATTTCGTGCAGGTCCGGACTAAAATGTTTATGGAACAGCAAATATTTATTGTGAAATTCGCTTCCAAAATGTATATTTTTGGAAAAATTTTCAAATCTCCATACATTGTTTTTCCGGTTAACTCTTCACCTCTAGGAAAGTAACGCCATGCTATCAGTAGTCGTGAAATCAAAACTGACAGCATACAATGATTCATTGAATTGAATGTCGAATTGAATCATCTAAACCAGGCTTAAGTCAGCAGAAGTCAAAGCAGGGATGCCAGATTTGAAGACATGTCTTCGTTCTCAAGACATTTGAAATTCTGTTAAGATTTTTGTTTTGTCTCAGACATTTTAAAGACATTTCATGTTTTGTGAAGTTGTTTCAAGACATGTTCAAATTGAAGAATACTTCCGAAGTTTTTTTTTTATTTTAAACAGACTTGTGAAGGTTTTTCTATAGAAATGAAGGTTATGACCACATATTACCGTGAACCCCCGCTAATCTGAACGACGCTTCATGCATATTAACGGGGCTTAACGAACGTAAATCCTTAAAGCAAAGAGATAGCAATTGGTTTTCTATAGCAAAAATGTGCATTTGTAGAGCACTTACAACTTTGTAGAACATTAAAAAAATTGTAAAATTCAAACAAAAAAGTTATGGTAAAACAAAAACGATTTTTAAGGGAGTACTACCGTTTGTACTCCATTTTCACCATTTTCGTCCAATTGAGAGATAGAAAATTGCCGTCTTGAACAAAGTTTTTTTTTAAATGATTTCATCTAAAAGGTTTCCATAGATGTTCATCAATTTTAATCAAAAAAAACTATTTTTCCTTGTTTGTTGGGGACCAACGGCTTTACTTCTCTTCCGAAGGAAGGCGTGATCAGAGATGTTATGCCTCAGAACATCCCGGCGGCGCCGACTGGGATTGAACCCAGGCCTGCTAGGGTGAGAGGTAATCACGCTTACCACTACACCACCGGCGCCGTTTTAATCAAAAAATGTCACCACTCAAATAAAGTTCTCAAAAAATGAAGAAACATTCTAGAAGACATCAAAATCCTAAACTCAATAGTTTCATCGCATCGCATTTTGATTTCGTCCCACTGTGCACCGAATTCTGCTGATAGATAAGTTCTTCGTAAACATCCAGTTGACCTTGTTTTTGCAACAAATTGGACGCATCATTCAAATTGGATGATTGTTTCGATCCCATTCAGGGGAAGTGATTGAAAATCTGGGTGATGAAATGACAAATTACTCGAAATGAAAAGAATTAAAATCAACCGAACTCCAACACACAACTCTCCACCTCAAAAAAAGCATCCTCGATCCTCGATAGCTGCCTGCAGTAAAAGGCTTTTCAAAAGTCTGATGGATTATCCATACGTACATACGCAAATGCTGATCGAAAAGATAAATGTATCTCCTATGCATCGATAACAATCATTTTGGAAGCGAAAACAAAGACTGTCTGAAGCCTTTAATCCAAAAACATTGCCCATTTTATTAATCTACGTTCATGCCGCTCAATTTTTAGGCTATGGCAAAAAAGGACACACAGAAAACCGTAAAACCAAAAAAATGAAGCTATTATAAATCCGTTATCAATGTTTCGAACGGAAAAGTTTCAATTACGATAATAGAGGATTCTGTTTTTACACAATTGGTAAACAACGAAATAATCTGAGCGTGTTTGTGTGTCTGATAAATTTTACACATATTCACAATTACATGGAAGAAAAATTACGTTAATGAACAACGAGTTCGTACTTGTGTACTTTAGAGCGTTAAAAACTTACAATTTCTTCTACACTGTAATGCAACGTCAAACTCTTGTTTTTTTTTTGTAAATACATTCTCGGAAAACACACAATTTTTCTTCTCCTTCTTCTTATGCTTCTCCTACATCTTCCTAACTGTTCCTGTCTGGTTCAAATGGTGTGGTACTGATTTGCTTGTACAATCAAGAATAATAATCCGCAAAAGGAATCGCATGCAGTTTATGAGAAATACGTGGATTATGAGTAAGTAGTGCTTTGAAATATCTTACAAGTTTTCTTCTTCCCCTAAAACAGTCAACAATTAGGCGCAGGAAATCAGAATTTCAATTATTTACGTAGTTCTTCCTATACACACATCTTTCTTAAATGTTTCATTAGATGTTTTTTTTTTTTTTGTTTTTGGTTTAACTATTTGCATTTTTTTTTTCTTTATTATTTTAACCGCTTTTGCTTTCAAAGTTAAACATATTTGCTTTCATAAATTTCTCTAAAATAATTTGGATACTTGGATTGCAACGAAATATTTGCCTTTCCGTTTAAAACAAAAATAGAAAAGAAAGTTTAACTAATCCTTATTCTTGCATAGGAAAAATTATTGCTAACAGTTGTTGCTTGCTAATAAAAATGGATACTGGCAGGGAAAACGTCTTCGTTACCGTTTTCCCCGATGATCAATGGATTAAAAATCATTACGAACGAAATCGCAATTTATACACCTTATCACTATTTTGAAAAGTTGATTGGCTTACATTCTTTGACTTTTTTTTTTGCTTGCTTAGTTTGAACGTAAAATTAGTGTGATTTGATAAACTGCTAGACTATTCGTAACATGTGTGTGTATGTATTAATGCTTAACCCTTAAACAGTGGAAGGAAGGGGAATAGGATTTTTTTTTTGTTTTCTAGAAGAGGGGTGATGTGTGAAACGGCCTAATTTTCTTTTGTTTTTGTGTTTGCCACCGATAAGTAGGCGAGGTTGAATTTTACCTCTCACACAGTCTACTTATTGCTGACTCAGCAACATACAGCTTCATGCAAAAATAGGACTAAGGACATAGACCGGGAAGGAAACAATATCCACTGTGCACAACCGGTAGTGTTGTTGGTGGTGCGGGTGGGAAAGGAGGGGAAGGGGGAGTTAGTTAAAGAAAATGCTTCCTTTAAAGCGTTTGTGTGTGTATGTGTGTGGAAGTGAGAACCAGGTGCAGCGGCGGGACCCTCAGCCAGGAAATTACATTCCATCCGGGAGGTTATCGTTGTGGTTGAATCGTAGCGTTTCCTCAAAGATTAATCGCTTCAATGTCTCCTTGGGTAGGTCGTCCAGTTCCATGGCGATGCGGAATGGTTCCTCGGCTACGGGCTGAAAAATGGCGGAAGAAGAAAACAATACACATGATTAATGATGCTGTTCGTGGCGCTCAAGTAGCTTGTTGGGACACTTCTGTCAAGCTTTCATTGTGTGGTGTCTGATCTGCAAGTGACTGCTGTTGGAAAAATACAACATTATTTGCCAGAAGAGAACCCCATTAATTGGTGTCGATGAGGACGTTCCGCCGTTTGTTTCAGTGTAGGTTCTGAATAGTTAATGAAACGTCGAATGAGATAAATAGCTCGTGCAGGAATAGATACGGAAACGTAGTCATTCAAAATAATTGTCTGTTATCGACAGACGACCAATAGAAACTCGTATATCTTTTTTTGTTTGCATAATTTATTATTTATTCATTTAGTGGTAAGAGGAGCATAATGAGCATCCCGCATTACACACCCAGACCTCTAATTGTTCTAAACAAATTAATTGATAGTAGGTTCAATATCACCATTGCAATTATTAAAGATCATTTAAATTATTTCGCACCATACGAAATTCCAGCCTTATGAACAGGAAGCCCACTATGCCCCACCTATTCACTATACCCCTCCTTCCCCTATAAGAACCGAGTCACATGAGGTATAGAATTTTTTTATGCAACTACACTTCGAATAAAAACGACCTAAATTTTAGTTTAGTTCACTTATAATCTTTGACTATATGTTTTAGTATTACTTCTGCGTGAAGTCATCGATTTACATAGTTGAAGATGCTAATTTCAAATAACAGACTGTAGTGGTAATTTTGATTTCCACCCCTGGCGGGGGGGGGGGGGGGGTACACTCCTCACCATCCCTCTCCAAAGGGGGAGTTTGGTAAAGAGAGATGAAAAACCGATTTGTACCTTCCTCAAAAGTTGTCCTAGCTCGCTATTCTACTATCTATATGCAATTTTCACACTGCCGCGGCATAACATTTAATAAGGCACTTAAAACTAGGCCACTTAATGAGAACTATTGTAATAAATTTGGATATTCAACAAGATTTGTATACCATCAGTTTCTATTTTAATTATTTTGATAAGATCGGATTCATAAATCCTTTTCTGATTGATGCTTTCCTAGTGGATTTAGCATGCGGCTAGGGGAAATGGCTCGGAAAGGGTTTTTATAGTTGCTAAATAGCTTTTATTGTAGCTTTCAAATGGTTCTCAATGCGTTCGTCATACAACCTTTTGCAGTAAATCAATCTTGAAGAGCTTCGAGAATACACCCTTCAGAACCTTTTCCAGGATGGGCCAACTAGACATATTCTAGTCATAATGAGGTTTTGGTGGATGCATTAATGACAAAATAGAGTTTTATGAATGCTGTTTTATAGTTGCTTTGTAGTATTTCATAAAAATTTAAATGTTACTTGGGATATATATTAACCTTTCAGTACTCGGGCTGATGTACAAGGTTTTTTCTTTGACTTGTTTTTCGTCGATCTTGTTTTCCGTGCTGAGCACCAATGCTACCGACGCCAGGGAGGCAGCTCCCACACCTGGACACTACATATCGACCCATCAACTCATGAACCGGGGACCAACGGCTTTACTCCCCTTCCTAAGGAAGGCGTGATCAGAGATGTTATGCCTCCGAACATTCCGGCGGCGCCAACTGTGTTTGAACCCACGCCTGCTGGGGTGAGAGGTAATCACGCTTACCACTACACCACCGGCGCTGCTAATGTACACGCTAAGATCAGATAACCCAAATGTAGGTTTACTTTACCCAAATCAGGCGTAAACTGCACAAACTCAGATATGGGTAAATTTTTTAACCCAAATATGGGTAAAATTAAGTCAAATTTGCATAAAAATAAATCATTTATGGATCATAAGAACACATATTTGGGTTTAAAAAATTTACCCATATGTGAGTTTGTGCAATTTACGGCCAATCTCGGTAATCTCTTTGTACCGTCTGGGTAAACTGATCTTAGCGTGTACGAAATTAAATACGAAAAAAATAATATGTAAAACCTACTGACGTTGGAACTCGCCCAACATGAAACTAAACATGGTTCATGAAATTTAATACCCACATCCAATAGACCAATAGAGGACGCTCCGGTCGAATAAAATTCGCCGCCGCACGAAGTTGACTGTCTACAAGACGCTGATTAGACCGGTGGTCCTTTACGGCCACGAGACCTGGACTATGCTCGTGGAGGACCAACGCGCCCTTGGTGTTTTCGAACGGAAGGTGTTGCGTACCATCTACGGTGGAGTGCAGATGGATGACGGAACGTGGAGGAGGCGAATGAACCACGAATTGCACCAGCTGCTGGGAGAACCATCCATCGTCCACATTGCAAAAATTGGGCGACTACGGTGGGCTGGGCACGTCGTAAGAATGCCGCACGACGACCCAGTGAAAATGGTTCTAGAAAGCGACCCAACAGGAACAAGAAGAAGAGGCGCGCAGCGAGCAAGGTGGATCGACCAAGTAGAAGGTGACCTGCGGAACCTTCGCAGACTACGAGGCTGGCGAACTGTGGCCATGGATCGAGTAGAGTGGAGACGACTTCTTCGGACAGCAGAGGACAACAAGGCCTTAGCCTGATTGGTAAGGTAAGTAAGTAATAGACCAATACTTGAAGAATTTTCGTGATGCAATATTTGGAGAAAAAATAATTAACGATTTTGAAAATTTTTTAAGATCACAGATTTGAAAAAAAATATTCATACTTGAGTCATAATTTTCAAGACTCTGAGACTAGGAAGCATTTTAAAGGTTATAACAAATAATAGAACAATTTATAGAATCTTGCGGACAAACCCTGGAATTTTTAGTAAAATTTAAAAGTTGTCAAAAAGTTGATTTCAAACAAATATTGAGGAGGAATCCCACATAATTTTCGAAGGAGAAGTTCTGAGCAGAATTTCAGAATTATTCTAACTTGAAGTGCTTAGAAATTATTTTTCTGTGGAGAAGAATGCTCTAAAAAGTTCTAAATTAAATTCTTAGATAATTTTGGAAGATTTTAGAAGGAGTTGTGAAAAGAAAACTTTAAGGAAAATTCCTACGTAATTCTGAGGAGATTTTTATGGGGATCGCGAGTAAAATAACAGCTGAATTTTAAGAAGAATTTCAATAGAATGAGAATTCAACAAGAAACAGTTCTAAGAGTGTTCTGGTGATAATTTTAACCCTAGTGCTAAAGATTCATCACAGAGCTCCAACAAAATTGATTGCAAAAATGCTGATAATTAGAAAGAAATTCTTTAAAACACTCCAAGGACTTTCTAAATAAAATTTCGAAAGATTTCTGCTGTTTCGAATAGAGTTAAAAGAAAATTTTGAAAAAAATTTAAAAGCAATCAAAGTTTCCGAATAGGTTCAAGGGAATCCTAAGAAGAATTCCAATCAAATTCTTACAAGGGGTTCAAGAAAGTTCAAAAAAGAATTCAACGGTAAATATTAAGCGGAGTGTTTTCTGGTTAATTTCAGAAAAAAATATATGATATTTTAGAACAGAATTCCAAGTTAATTCTGAAATTCATATCATGGGAATTTTGAATAAAATTGCATGGTTATTTTAATTTCGAATTGAAAACGAAAAATTAAAACCTCGGAAAAGAATAGATTCAGTTTTTACAAATATTTGTTTCCAAGGTCGAGCATCTTCAATATTTTCTTTTAATGCCCATGCCACTTTACATCTGAAATTGAAACGACAAAAATTAATTTGAAATTTTGCTGAGTGATTAAATTCTAAAAACAAAAAGACGAGAAACTGTAGAAAATTATACAGCAAATAGAGCAAGACATTCATTTGGTAAATAATTACTATGTTTTAATGGTTTATTCTGAAATTTTAGTATTCAAATTTGTTCCTATGGTATGATAAATTTATTTTTCCCGGTTCTCTCGTCGACTTCCCAGGTTTTCCCGGTTACTTTTCAAATTCCTGGATATTTCCCGGAATTCCCGGTTTTCCCGATTCGCTGGCCACCCTGAGAACTAGTTCAGGAAAACTTAGGCAAAACAATCAGATAACATTTTCAAGAAAATTATTTGGTCGGACAGGTGATTTGCACTGGTGAGCTGAAGAGCAATTATCTTTATGACAGCTGGCATCGTGATCCAGAATATTTTCGTGAGCCTGTGTTTGAACAATTGTGCCTTTTATTAGAAACCACTGATATCCTAAGCTGTAGTGCTCTGATCTCGTGTCTTGTCATTGCGGAAAAATTACATGAAAATTGTAAAGTCTGGTCCACTTAGAATCTGGTTACTTTATTTATTCTATAGCAGCGCCTCTAGTGGTCGGATTTGGAATGTTTTGAAAGTACACGTATTTCAGTACTAAAAGTTTCGTTTCGATACGTGCAGTATTAAAAAAGTTTATACTAGATGAAAGACGAGAAAAGAAAATTGATCCTGTACACCCACGTCGAAAACCCGACGTGATCAATTCGAAATATCGCCAAAAAGTTGAAAATTGTTTCCAGACAAAAGTTTGGGGTGATGTCCCAAGCAAATTCAAGTTTGTTTTCACCGATGAATTTGCCCGAAAACTCATGATCTAGCAAGGAATTTGCAGCTGCGGACTCAAAACCAAGCTTTTCGTCAGCAACAAAATGATGCTGTATAAGCAAGAGTGCCTGGAGAAATGTATACAACCCAGGCTTGCAATTGCTCATTACAGCTAAAATGATATTTTTCGTAATTATGAAACAATGAGATACTATAATGATAATTTTTATTTGTAAAATGCAAGAAGAGGTGGTAAAGTTTGTGTATGACATATAAAATTTGTCAATTTTGCTTTCAGAAGGTCACAACTAGCGATTAGCTGTAACGATGAGCAACGCGATGAGCGAGCAATCAGCGATCATAAAATCGCTAGTTGTGACCTTTAGAAAGCAAAATTGACAAATTTTATATGTCATACACAAACTTTACCACCTCTTCTTGCATCTTACAAATAAAAAATATCATTATAGTATCTCATTGTTTCATAATTACGAAAAATAGCATTTTAGCTGTAATGAGCAA